TATATATAAAATTGAGAAATTATTAATACATTTTTTGCGTTTGCTTGGATTAACGTTCTTGTTCACTAACTTTTTGTCTTATAATAAGAACGCTAGATTTTTTAAATAATTTTAAGCAGTTGGTGATTTCAATTTCTTTAAAGTATAATTACTTATAGTTTAACATTCCCACAAAAGTTGACATAGAGGTCGTGCAGTAATTTTGAATTTAATGCAGTTATTTTTAATTTAAATTATTTTTTTCTGAACTCATAATTTACGAATGTCGTTCTGTTGTTCCAGGGTACATTTTGAATATAAAAGATGAAAAAACCGACTGGGTAAGAATAGACGTTTCTCCTGAAGTATTGCAATATGCTATTGAAAATTTAAAATGTGGTACCTCATTCTATCTATATGTGGCAGCACAAACCCGGGTAGGAAGAGGCACTTCCAGTGCAATTTTAAGTACTCATACCAAAGGTACTGATTTCGAAAGCTCCTACTTTCCTTCTCAAAAATTCCTACTTTTTCCAAAATCAAGTTAACATTTTGCATAACAGGTGGTCCTCCATTGTTGCCAAAAGAGGACCAAATCTTCGCAGCGAACTCTTCGATGATTACAGCGAATTTGAAGAATTGGCCAAATGGAGGATGCACAATTTCGAAATTTTCAGTGGACTACAAAACTTACAGTATAGACAAATGGCACTTGATAGCTGAGAATATTAAAGAAAACGAAATTGTTATTCATGACTTGATGCCTGGCACTTGGTACCAAATTAGAGTGATTGCTGAAAATGATGCTGGAGTGGTTCGGGGATTTTTCAATGTTGCTACTTTGTCTATTGATGGAAGTAAGTATTTTAAATATTTTTCATCTCAAATATGTTCATGCCTCTAAAATACCGCAAAACATTCCTGGGTGTTAAAGGAAAAACCAGTTAAAATTGCTTGGTTTAAATGGCTCCAAACGCATAAATAGCAGATGCAAATGTTTAAAACCAAATTAAAAACGCCATTTGGAGCTTGCAATTACATTTTGCAACATATTTATATAATTATCTGGCATAAGCTATCGATGACATAAGAAAAACGAACAAAAAACTATTGTTGGCGGCCTGTACTTGTATATTATATCGAATGCATAAATCCTTGTTTCCTTATGACTTGTAATATACCCTGAAGAAGTCATTAAATGGCAACGAAATATTGAGCAATAAAAGCACAACTCGTTCTTAGTCTATCGCTTAAGCGTTCACTCTTGGCCTCATGGGATCAACAGCTGGTTTATTTAGTAGAGGTCCCATTGGATTCAAATTACTTTGATCATTGGCTGAAGCAAATGGTCAAAGTTGATTTTGGTTAAACAACACCTTGATTGGATATTTTTGAAAACCTGTTTTTAAACAAAACTATATTATTCCCTTGTATATCAAACACATTCAAATGCAGACCTCTAGATCGAAATTGAAGGCTGCAATAAACGTGTAAGACCACCTTTAGACTTTCCAAATTGCTCCACATTAAGCAATTTTCCTTCCTATCACGTATATTGATCGCGAAACGTTTGAAAAGTACGATATCGATATCAGGCAAAGAGTGGTTACTTAATTTGTTTTGTCTGAGCATTTATATATGTACAAGAGCAAACGTGAAATTGGCAAGGTCGTTATATGGAGTAAATGATTACCTTGAGGTGCCGAGAAGTTAATACCGAGAGATTGGAAACACCTGATTTTTTAGAGCGATTTTAATCGTACGGCGGTTGCTCGCTTGTCCAGGGTGTGTCCCAATTCACTATTTTCCAACCGCCCGTTAAAAACAAATAATAAATATAATTAGTTGCTGAATATTCCTCGTTGCGTGTATAAAACAAACCTGATAACCAACAATTGAGGATAGTTTTAAAATCAAATCTTAAATATCGCTGATTTATTGATAATAATCATTTATTTCCAATTACATGTTCAACATCTAGAGTTCCCTACAATTACCTGAACGCCCCCCAATGATCATCGCAATTTTCATAAGATAGCGGCAAAGTAAAGTTCACTTATTTAGTAAGAACTTTCCCAATGTTTCACAGATTTTTTCAAATTTGTTTTGTCTTTAAACCGCAAGAGACAACACTGAGATTTGCGTAAAACAAATTTCTAATAAAACCAAAAACAACTGCAACTATATTGGATTTAAAAAAATTAATTAGAAAATAGCTAGGTATTTAGAAAACGTTGAGTTTCAGCAAAAATAATTCCATCACATAAGCTTAAGTTCAAGTTGTTCTCGCTAAGTACAGTACTTTTTTAAAAAGAGAAATACTCCAGTTCTTATTAATTAAGCAATGCTTAAAGAAAAAGTCAAGCTTTAAACATTCTGAAAATTCCCAGAAAGTAAACAACTGACCAATTAATTGCAGTTTTCAGTAAATCGCAACTTATTTGCACAGAACTGCCCAAATGTTTCACTAATTATTAAATCAATTATTTTCAATTACTTTATAACCAACAGTCAGATAAAAACAAAATAACAAAGTACAGTATAAACACTCTAACATCAATTAGCGTTATATAAGGCCGCATAGTTTGTAATATAACCGATTATCCATAGAAGCTACCAATTATACTCCAACCAGAAATAAATAGATGGATTCGTTTGCACAATATTCGGATTGCTATTAAATAATTCGTTATTTCCAAACGGTGTTTAACAAATACGTAGAACTCTCCTAATATTATCGAATTTTGTGGTGATAATTTGTTCTCACTGGAAAACTTGCAATTTAACACTAAATTTATTTAATTTATAACGGAAACAATGTAATATTCAATATAACAAATTAGCAAACTGCTTAGTCATGAAAAATTCGTAGCGAGGAGACAGAAAAAAAACAAAATTTGATATGTCGTGGGAAAATTGTTACAGGATTTAAATGCCTTTTTTCATTTGTTGACTAATAATTTTGACCACAAATGGCTTTGTGGGTTAACTTAATAACGAAAGCTGTTTGCTTTATTTACGCTTTTTCTATTAAGGATATTCCACAGCGGATGTGCAGAAGTTTAAGAGACACAACTTGCTACAAAAATTATAATTTTTTTACTGCATTGCAGAGTTTTGCTTTATGTTCTTTTAAAGCGCGTAATTTTGAAATTATATTCTGAAAATAGAATCTCATTCTCTTAAAAACTTATATCCATATTTATAGAATTCCTTTTCTATCATTACCATTATTAGCTATCAAATGTCAACATTGAATAAATACATAAGCAATAATTATCTAAATTATTGTCTTTATAGTAAAAATATGTGTCTTCAAAGTCCAAGCGACCTGACGAAATTAAACAGGCATGTTGACATATAATTCAATTCGTTTTAAACGGATTACTACTTTTTTATCTGATTGATTTAAGAGTACCTGTTCCGCCCTTGGCATATCTGGCTTGTAATCATGTGCTAAATTTATGTTATAAAGATTTTAATGCATGTTGAATGGATTGGCTCTCACAAGGAGGAAGCTGCTTTTATTGAACAATTAAATTACGAAATCCAGTTTTCGAATTCTTCTTCCGCATAACCGAAATAAGTTCTTGTCATTAAATACTACATGTTTATGAAAAACACCGCCCAGTTATTCTTCAACAGCTCTTTGTTACACTTCTGGTATTGAAAATGTCAAGGATTGAATGCGACTTTTCAAAAAATCGCTTTATTTCAGGTCGTGTTCCGATGCTCCCTAAAATGTCTGAAGAATCAAAAAAATTTGAAGAAGGCAGTTTTTGGAATGAAACAGTATTCGTGATACCCGCGTCTATTTTATTGGTTCTAGTTTTTATTGTCGCTTTCTGCCTCCTGATTGCGTACCGAAGAAAGAGGTAAGTGGCAATAAATAAAACCCACATTGGTGATAAAAGAAGCGAACTTGACAGAACGACTAATAATCACGAACAATCTGAAGTGGAATGTGAAAACAGCGAAATGGAGACTCAAACCGCTAATGAAAGACGACAGAGAAATAGACAGGAAAAATTGGTTGAACGAGAAAACAGGAATAATATGCAACAAATTTATCTATCCTCCCCAGTTAAAAGTTGCGATAAAATCACTGAGAGTGATATGGCAGGTACAATTCAAAATAACTAGATTAATTTAAAACTTTTCCGTACTTAATTAAATTGATTTAAACATTTTTCTTAGCCGATAAAATTCAATCGATCTCTGAAATTTTGTTGATATTTGCTAATCAGATTCAGTGTAATTGAACTTTAAAGTGAATGTGTTGTTGTGATACAACACTTTTATATCAAGCCAATCTAACTGAATAATTGAGATTCATTGCTGCATATTTTTCTATTGCCAATCCGCACTTAAGCAATGAATAATGATAAACAGTTTTTGGGAAAATCGGCCTATTGTATTTATATTACAATATTTATGTTTGGTTAATTTAGCTAAATTGCTAAGCTACTTGTCGGTCATCCGAATAAAGCATATTACAAATTGTCTGCCGAAATAATTTGCGCTAAGTAAAGGCTTCATTGTCGAATAATGCTTAATATTGATGTGACGAAAGTGCGCCAAGACCATATTTTATGAATAATATTGTATTTTGCAAACTAGTCTTGAAATTCAACTGGTTGCATTTAATCAAGAAGAAAATGAACTGAACAATATTTTATCTCAACTATCAAATAGATGATACAAACTCTTACCCCAGCCAAGTAAATCAGGCCAAAATTGGATAACCCCAGTTATATTTGGAGCTAATTTCAGAACGCGTTATATAAGCCAATCAAAGTGTTATGTAGAATTTGAAAGAATTAAAAGTTACCACATTTAAGTGAAATTTGGGTAAATCGAGTAATTACTGCAACAAGTATTAGAGTATAAACAAACAATAAGAATGTTAATTGAATCGCTTGACGTAAAATAATATTTTTATCTATTATTAAATAGAAAACGAGACAGGCAGTTTAGTGCAATGGCTTAGGTAACTGTTATGTGTTTATAAAATTAGAATAGAAATGTCAGGGAAATTAACGAAAAGCAGTAACGGTTTGGAAAATTATTAAACGGAAAAGATACAAAGCCAAGAAGCACCATTCTAGACACCATCATCAGAATAAAATATTGATTTTGAACGTCATGCCATGCCGCCTAGGAAAATTGTTTTCAAATTCCCAAAATTGGGTAAAATGTCTAAAATTCAAAAAATGTTTGAAAACAAATAAATTGAGGGATTCGAACAGAAAGATTCAAGAACATTTTAAAATTTTTACAGTTGGCGCATAAAATGTTTGTTGGGAAAGTGTTTTAATAGCAATAAGGATGACTAAAATACTTAGTAAGTCGTGTAAATTAATGTACAGAGATATAACCTACTTGTATCTTACTACAGTATTCGTGACCTTCAACAAATGCTGAAAAGCGCAATACCTATACTGATGTCCTTTTTTATAACATATTTAATTATATTCCGAAAAATGAGCAAGGTTAATGCTAATTATTTTTGATTTTATACGGTTGTTTTGTAAGGACCCATTTACACATTGACCACAAACTATGCCGAAGTTCCGAAACAGTCGAAAACATTTAAGTTTTTATGGCGATTTTTACTCGAGTGAATTTGTTTTACTATTGGGAAATGCGCAAGCATTGTCATAGAGAAGTCTCTGGTAAACGAAGGAAACCTTCAACCTGTAGATTATAAGGACATTTTGCGCTTTAGTGGATTTATTTCCAGAACAAAAACTTAGTTCATGACCTTGTCCCCGTTTCGCATGTGTCCATAATCCTCAATTACCACTGGCAATTAATTTGTAGTGATATATATATTTACCCATATTAATTGCCTTAGATTAAAAGCGCATACTGGTTGATAAGTCTCAGTTGAAAGTTTGATTATAATTTACTTTGCATTTGACTTTTTTTTCTTTTTAAATCAACTTACAACAAAAAGTGTTTTAGTTCTGCTCTTTTGTTAACAGGTTTTGTTTGAAATTTCGTTTAATTTAAGGAAACTATGAGATTTCACCATACGCCACATTTGTAGTACCAGCATCTAATAACAGTCATTCTGTTAAAACTCCCGTAGATTATACGATGCAATTTAAAACATTCAGCCATATAGAAGATGGGGAACATTCTAAAATTATTATTCCTAAAGCTCAACCTGGAAAAGGGACTTGGCACAAGAACCAGCACTATTATAACAACGACTGTAAGTAGATAATGTAATTAAAATTTACGAAAACGTAGCCGTTTGCTCGGAATTATCCATAATACACCACATACAAAATTCAATACAAAAGCACGATCAGATAATGTGTTCATATTTCCCAATATACTACATAACAGTAATATTTCGGCTGAACCAGTTATTTATTTGAGAATGCTGTTTTTCAGCCGCTTTACTACCTCAATCCACTCATATTCTCTATCGCACGCAAGTACATCGTGACCACCACGAAGATACTGACTCTGAAGACACTAGCGGCTCAGGACAATGTGGAGCTGCCGCTATGTCAACAAGCTCTAGCTACAGGCCGCCAAGGAAAAGAGAGCATGTGGAAAGACACTGTGGTGTAGGCTATACCGGCTATGAAACTCTACTAGTAGCCGATTTATATCGAAACAAAGATAGAGATTCTAGTACTGAGTCCAACGACATTTCGCCCTTGGCGGCACGAAGACAAACTCCTAGACTGATGGGACCGAAGAGGCACTACAGGACCGCAAGTAGTAGCAGGTAGCCAAGGTATATTGAATGTTGATCCCTTAATTCATTTTACCGTCAATTGCTTGAGATGTCTCTTTTATGGAAAATTCTCAAAATAGTAATATATGCTGTTTCATTATTTGCATGAAATGTTTTCCTCAAGTCCAGGTTGATGACCGCATGACTTTTAGCATATCGTATCTCGGCATGCATCTTTGGTAGTATAGAACGAATCTTAGATAGTCAGAAGTAATTGAATATTATTTTAAAACAGCAAGTGAGAACTTCTAGATAGGGAACCAAAAAGTTTAAAATTAAAAAGGCAAACATGCAAAACTGACTCGTTAATATTCAATTCAAGCGTCAATGACTTCAAGTGAAATTTGCGATAATTTAGAATATTTTGCTCTTAGAAAACATTTGATGATGAAAATTGAACACAAGCGTCTAAAGAGTTCGCTGCTAGTATCCTGTTGGAAATTCAACCGGGCGTTTGTGAACAGGAAACGAAATTTATGGAATTTCATTAAATAAAGCACGACTTGGGTTAACCCAACCTTAGTTGAAAGCCGAACCTTGTTTGGTTCCCAAAAGGTTTCATTTCTTTTCATGCTTAAGAAATTCATTACATTACATAGTCGGCGACTGAATGCTGCTATGAAAATAGCTCCTTCTTTGCCCTTAGAATATGCTACTTTACGCATTATTGACGGTACCTCCATATGGCACCAGATACTTCCTTAAAACTTCTCCTTCTTGAAACGCAAGAATAGGCATGTTATTTAAGAATCGTTTACCTACAGTTATCTAATAAAATTAAGTAGTTCACTTTTATGAGGTCTGTATTAAGAACGTAACGAATGCCCGATTGATATAGGTTGAAGTAAACTGTAAGCATTAACCAGCCTAAGTGCTATAAAACATTTAAACAAGTGTGTGTAAACGAGGTGAAAGGAACACGCCAAAGTAGAGGGAGTATAAAATTTGCGAGCTATATTCGGTTATATAACATATCAAGGTGTAGTACACATAAGTTATTCTATAATGCGACAAAAAATCGCAGTCACATTGGCTCAACAACAAAAAAATACAATACAGGTATTGTGTGAAAAGAATGGCAAATGTTGGAGATTGATAAAATAATAATGGGAGTATGCTTGAGGCAAGGATAGAATCACGTTGTACCAAATACTGCCTATTTGAATGGACATCCTAACTGACATTGCCCTCACACTAGGAGGTCCTTTGTAACCTTTACACTTTTCAACATGCATGAAATGTAATGTTATGTAAAACTCTCCTAATTATTTTCAATAGGTATTGCTTTGATTCGACCTTCATCTCTATTTAATGGCATGTACAAATTTTTGTTGTTACGGACCAATTAAAGCTATGTGATTATTCTCAGATTTTCTGTTTAACTTTCAGTTCAGAGGATGATTATATTTTTACCGATGAGGCTCAAATTAAGCCACCAATATGCTTTTCAGATAGTAGAGAATTAAGCGAAGCCGAGTGTGATAGAGACTTGAAACTTGCAGAGATTATTTCATCAGAACTCAACGATATATTAAGTAGGTGAGTACATTGATTTGTAAATGTCCGTATATACCAGGATGACCATTTGTTTTGATATTTTGACCGGCAGTTGGAGCATTTATAGTATCTCTAAGACATAATCTAAAACAAAATAATTTTGCTTGCTAAACAAATTTCTTGTAATAAAATTCATTTACTCCAAGTATCACTTTCTAAAGTTCTTCACATATGTTAGAGAACGAACTGCTATTACAATGCTTGGTACCAATAACTAGAAATGTGGTGCAATATGAACTTATTTTATAAAACTTCTATTGAATCATGTGCTAAATTTTCCAAAAATCCTTCTCCGTGTTTGCATCGAATTATTGTTACAAAATTATTTTAGAGAACATCGAATTTTTCAGCGGTTTTTGTGTTATGCACGTTATTTTAAGAAATCAATTTGCTAAATTAATCAAATTGCTTGAAACGTTCCAATAAAAAATTGCTAGCTTTCTATTATTTCACCAATGTATACGACAAGGAAAGATCCGACAATATAGATTCGATAGTTTGGAGAACAATGCAAGCTTCCTCTTCAATTGGCTGATTTGAATATAAAGCAATCAACTTTGGATCTTTTTTTCATTATCAGGTACCATGAAAGGCGAGAAGAAGAAAGGAAACAGTTCACCATGCTCGTTTAGAATGATGGCTTTCAGCAGACCAGGAATTTTTTATTTATTTTAAATTTAAAAACGTACTTAAACTTACGAAGTAAGTGACTGTTATAATATTTCGTCATGCCAAGAAAATTCTAAATGTTGAATCCTCGCTTCTCCACTCAATTTCCTCCAAATATTGAGGCAATGTTCAAACCGTGTTCCAGCAACTTGAATGTTAAGTGTACTGTATAATGTTTAAATAAACGGATCTAATAAAGTAATGCAAATTAAATACGCCATTGGGTTTTATTATCCTACTCTTATTCCCACGTGCACACAGTCAACAATCACTTTATAGTTCAACAAAATCGTATTCACTTAATCCTAAATAAGTATGTTGCTGGATTATAAAAACAATCTCACCTACGTACAATGCGGACCATTATGGTGAAAAAATACAGCTGAATAGTGAGTAAGGCAGAAGTAAATTGGCATTATTGCAGAGACGAACAATCATTGAACATATATTTATCCGTTCACAAAAAAAAACAAGCGACCAAAAATTTGAAAGTCAGTTCAGGAGTTATACCAAATGGTAAATACTGAAAAAGCACATTTTCCAATGGGATAGGAAATGAAGGTTGATCAACAGAAAACCTTCTTCAAGTTGAAGAAAATGTGTAAAAAACCAAGCACCTAAACCTGAAAACGTATCGAAATATTTTCCAATACAAATTTTGCAACGAGTAAAATTGCGGCAATAAAACCTCGATGTTAATGCGAGTGCATCAATCTGAAGATCAAAAAACGCAGGAACTACAGTAGTGTAGATAACCCCCAAGATGTCCGTTGAAAAAGAAACGGAAACGGATCTACTCGAGGTCAATTAACCTTCAAATGTGAACAATATACTAAAACGAAAGAATATTTAACTCATATGGCTGTCCAACCCTTTTCGGCGTGTGTTTCAAGACCGATAATGCTTTCGTCAGGTTTCTCAGGTCTTATCTAATAATCTAACTTCATTCATAAGTCTCTTAATCCGGCAATGGAGGTGGCGTTGGTGGAAAATGCAAAACAAATTCGAGCAGTAACCATTTTGGTCACTAAGCATTATTCTCCTTTTTGGAAAACATTAGCCGCGAAGGTAAACCATTGTCCATTGCGTCCTTGCACCAAGAATAATCTTATCTCTTATGGGAGCTCATTACGCTTACAGTGGGCATGCAAAATAAATCGGCATGATACCAGAAATAACACAAATTTGGTTAATGGACCCATAAGTCTTGTTGGTAATCATGCAATCGCTGACTGCCCAAGAGAAGGTATTGTTTAATGCTCTGTTAAGCAATCAGACGACCTTAATGTCCAAAAATTCAACTGCTTGTTTTCTTTCAAGTACAGGATTATTGCCACATCAGAAAGCTCACTTAATATGCAATATTTTTTATTTGCTTCCCCCATTACTTCCAAACTATATTAAAGTTTCTCAAATAGAATGCGTTGATTGCTTTCTAATAGCTCATAGGAATTTATTAAGTGCAGTCCAAATATCCAAAGAAAAAATTGTACATGGTTCTTCGTCGTTGATATTGCAAATAATCTAAAGCTTTCGAAAATTAAATTTATTATAGATGTAATATTTTCAAAAAATATTCGTCAACTATCGAATTCCTAAATTGCCATTGAAGCAAGGCAACATTTAAAAGTAGCTTTGAAATGCTATTTATTAGTTCAACTCGCCTTCGGACTTAATCCCGACTTCTGACCAGACCCTAATAGTTGCTAAAGATAATTCGAAGCCTGAAGAATAAGATAATTATTCGTTACTATTACAGCCCGAAATCTAATTGCTTTTTAAACATACAATCAATTTACATTCCTCCTGTTTCAGATGCCAGATGCTTAATTATCGCTTGTAACATTGTCGTACCGTACATTACCCACCCTAGTTTATGATTTATGAAAATTCCAGTGAAAAGCAAGCAAAAGATTCGTCCTCAAGCCTCGTTGTAGCCGCTCGCTTATCTAGTTTAAAATTAAATTTAGTGCCAAAGGTAGTAATCTGACACCAAGCATAAAACATGTTCTCCTTTGTAGAGTTATAAAGTACTCCCAAGAAGGGAGTGCAAGAATTAAATGTCCATGCTGTCAAAGACACAAGGATGAAAAATAACCGGCAAAAAGCGATGACAATCGTTTGCAGACATATTTATTGATTGTTTTTAAAAAATCTACAGAGGGTAATTTATACTCGTATCCATATCAATGTGTAATTTTTAAAAAATGGCTTAAACCAGTCTTTGCATGTAGGTAATTAATTGAAAGCAATATATGAAGAGAAACTCTTGAGAAGCTCCAGGGAGCTCGAACGACTTTATCTATTTTTTTTGTGATGAAGAATTAAGTTCAGAATAAGAGGAAAACGAATAGTTTCTATAATGCAAGCAAATAATAGATTAAACCACCAATGCTCAGTGATTATTTTAAAGAGCAAGTAGCCTCTAAAAAATATCGGATTAGGATGAAACGCTAAAGCCTTTCATGGCAATTGCTTGAAAACATGCGGGTTTTTGAATTACTATTATTCAGATGAGTGTTGAAGATGCTTCACGAATCAAGCAAGAAGACTCTTGGAGAACACTCCTCTGAAGATGCTAGCAAACCGTTGGAAATAACGTCCTACAAACTGCCTAATCAAGTGAACCTTGCAATTAAATAAAAATTCAGACAAAGTACGGGGCGGGTCACAGCTATTCATTTTCTCTGTGGTTCGGTTCAGTTAAACTGTTGAACGAAAAATAGCCCAAATAACGTTAACGACTTGTCTAACCAAACCCCCACTAAAAATAGTTAAAATAATGCGCATTGAAATAAACAGAAAGGTAATAGAAAAAAGCTTAAAAGCAATCGAAATTAATTGTTGGCGTCGAGCGACAGGAAAATCGAGAACAGAACGCATAACAAACGAGACAGTAAGATAAATCAAGCGAAAAACGCACTCTGTATCAGATGTACAGTCAACTGATAAACATATGGCATATAGAAAGAATACAAGAACACAGAATTCCGAAGCACGTTTCGAGACAAATAAAAAAAAATATTAGAAGAAAAAACGGCCGAGACAGATAGAAAATGTCGTAAAAAAATAACGTCGTAGAACGTTATGAACCGTTATACAGATAGAGATACAGTAGTGCGCACTCATTTCTGGATACCCTGTATAACAGCTCACAATAACCTATTGTAATATCTAATCTTAATCTTGGGACTATCAAAGATCTAACATGATCGTTAAGTGCATGTTTCAATGCCAGAATACATTGTGTTAAGCAATTTCCGTTGAGCAATGAAAATATTTTGGATTCAGTGGGGAAAATAACAACGGCTCTAGATTAATGTGATAGCGAAAGCTCGTGGAGAAAAGTCCGAGTGATCTCACAAAGTGATCACCCAGTATTCTTCGGATAATAAATAAAAGTAGATCAGTGAGAAAAATTAGAAGGGCATTACGACCCACCCAGAGTTACTACATAGAAAGAACTACCGCCTAGAGCTCTCAACGAACTGTACTTGCAAAATAAATTATACCTAGTTGCTCGAATAAGGTTCACTTTGCACTTAACAAATTATGCGTTACGTAGCAATAAAAGGTCAATAGTAATTTCATTAGTACTGTGAGAAATCGCTGCAGCAATTATTATAAAAAGCAATTTGAACAGAAATTATATAGTGCTGCTCATACATTTAATAATCTGGTGATTTTTTTATTTTTGGTGATAAATAAAGTTAATCATAATATCTTGTTAGGTATTTCCACGAATTAGGCCCATTCATGTAATAAAAAGATGGAAAAGCGTAGAACATATAGCGCTAATGACTTTGGTAATTAAAACACCATTATTAGCAATTCCATTGAGAGAACCGCAGGACTTTCTAATAAAGGGCCTTCAGCTGGAATTTCGACTATTAGGAAGCAGGTTGGGATTTGTCAGCTGCTGGGATTTTGTTATATCATGCATGACCCTGTATAAAAGTACTATCACTTAGTTGGAATAATATCTTTAGACAATAAGCAACTAGCGTCTTAGCTTCGACGCCAATATACTTCTTAGTGGGGGGTTTCACTGGGTTTTCTCTTCGCGGTTCCCCACTTGGGACATTTCACTAATCATTAAAGAACCACTTTTATTCCTTCGGCTACCCAGTCAGTGCATTACCGCGTTCTGTGCTGTCACATTTGGGGAGAATTTTTCGATTTCTACATGGGTGAAGTGCATTAGCTCCTGCGTGTGATCAGTGTTCCCTGGATATTAAGTGCTTAGTGGAAAAATGGTTTCGAAATACGTCATTGCCGCGGTCCTGCTTTCAGCTACCCTTTTCGGTAAGTCCCTAATTCGCACAAGATCCTTAAGTGACTTGAAAATTTTGAGCCTCGCCGCTCTTTGCGGGCATCTCTCATGTATGTGTAAGAATACTAATAGCTAAGCATGCATACATTCAGCGATGCAATGCTAACAGAATAATAAGGTAACTAGGTCACATTTGTTTTGATTTCTGTAATTCACAAAATCGCTGTCCGTTTTGCAACAAATCGTATGCAAATACAATATTAAACAGATACTGTTACTAACAAATAAAATTTTATTTGCCTGGATTTTGCTGCTTGAAAAAAAATCAGTTAAGTAATATTTTTTATTACCCAGTATTCTTCAATATTTAATTACCTACTACAAATTTTCGGTTTACTTTGTATTTTAATTGTTCATTCCATATTTTCTACCTACTTTCGTTCATGTGGCGGTTTTTTAATCAAATGTCCTTTTTCATTTGAATTTTGGTAATCTCCTTTAATCCTGTCAAAATTTTTAAATTAATTTCCTTTTTTGAACTTGCAAGATATCGTGGCAGTCAAACAGCACCATTTGAGCTGCAGATGAACGTGCATTTTAGTCGCAGGTGTTAAAGAGGAACATTCTTAATTATGTTTACATTATGTTTCCACAGATTTCACTTTTCAGGAACTTGAGGTCTCTGTCATAGCATTTATTGCCATAAATGCATTTTTAACAGAATTTCCTGTCCTGTACATTTTTTTGTAGCTGTACATTTGTTTTCTGTAGTACTTTTGTGCAAAAACACATGAAAAATAAGTAGGTTTGCAATAAAAAATTAAACCTTGCTGAAACATCAAATTGCATAATTTGCAAACCCAGTCAATAATTCCCAAGACAGAATGCGGTAAAATTCACCTGTGAATCTTCTATGTAAGCAACAATCCCAATGTTTTGCTTAACACTAGTTGGCTAACTTATATAATTCTTCATTGTTATATCAGCCTTTGTCTATTTTTTTTTGTTTCAAGTTCAGGCGTGAGGACTAATTTAGCTGGTTTGCTCAATGGAACACGATGAACCGCGATACTATAGAATTACTATTATGTAAACATTCGAACATTTCTTCGTGGGAAATTTATGCCACAAATGACCTTATTGTATTTTTTTTTATTAGCTTAACCCAAGCTAACCCAGAAGTAAGATAAAAAAACGATAAAAATACTAAATGCAAAATCTTTGCGCAAATAACGATACAAGGCTATCCAATAGTAACTTGTGAATTAGAGCAGAAATGGTTTGCAATATTTTCGTGAAAATAGCACGTTTTATATGCAACCAATCTAAAAACCTAAACAAAGGAAAATTAAAAAAATTGTGTTTAAGAAAAAAAGTGAAACTTTAGTAAAGTGGTATTTACTAATAATAGTTAGTAACATAATATTTAAAGTTCAACCAGGAGAAACCAAGAAAGACTTCAAAAGTAGATATTAATTTCACCAAATAAAAGTACCACTATTAATTCAACGTGAACGATTTAATATAAAACAAAATTTTGGCATGTAAAATTACTTAACTGTTGCGAAATTTAGCAAAACATTTTGCACAAGTCACAAAGATTGCAGTTTGGAATTTCAGACAATATCTTCGATGTGGCTTTTATTGTGTGCTATTTGTATAGAAAAGATTAAATCCAACCGTAATTCATTGCATTAATTGATTAAATTATGGTTATTACTACAATAATCTTTTATTGCGATTGCAAATCGGTAATTTCACTTCTCAGCCTGTTATTGTTATTTAGGCAATATATTCTCAAGCTTCAACATCAGTTAGCGCATCGAATCGCGCTTGAATCATATTCGTAAATAAAAAAAAAGCAAATATTTCATCAATCAAGAGTCATAGTCAACAAGATTGACAAATAGTAGATGGCACTATATACTATATAGAGAGAAATATGCTCAAAAGTTAACATTTTGCTTGCCGCCACATCGCGGTTGAAGATGTTGGGAGCTGAGGCAGGGAAAACGTTAAGTAGACATTTTAATGGTCAACGGTCATTTCACTTATTAATAAAAACAACTACATTCTTTCACTTTCAAAAAATTAATAAACAGGAAAAAATTAAAAGGTAGAAGTAAAAAAGCATCACAAGAACGAAAGTTTGAATGATAAAATTCCCAGCAAAGATAAAATAAATTTCAACTAAAATAGTTTTCTAACTTCCCGAAACAAAATAATGATTAAACCTAAAAGGAGTAAAAACATTTAACTTTGTTGTACTATACAATAGTAAAGGCCTTGACATATTATGGCAAAAAGAATTTACAAATAGTTCTATGCTTGGCCTTGCTTTCTATAATATGTTTCGCAGCCAGGGATAAACGGGATTAATAATTTCTCTCGTGTTACATATTATTACTCTTATTATTGTCGATTATTACTCGATAATCGACCGTGTCTGAAAGCAAAAGTCCACCGCTGACCTAAAGAAATATGAAACGAAAATGAGCGTCGTTTCATGTTCCGGATTTCTCATCAAAGTCGCACCAGCTGACGCTTGTGTTTATATACAATAAAATTTTGTTTTCACTAGCTGAACAAGCAGTTAGGGAATTTCAATTCGAATTTATATACCAAGGATTCAAATTTTAGCATTTGAACTGGATACTTTCTAGGGTGTTAATGCCTAATCTCAAGAGGTAGATATCTGTTTATTGCACAGATTTTTTTTAAACTTTGGCGATCAGGTCGAGTATAATTCACTTAAATTAATCATTAGGAAAAGCTGATGGTTATTAGGAAAATCGACGCGTTTATGCCCACATGCATAACAGTCCTTGTATGATTCTTACTAAACCGACACTCCTGCAAATCAATTAACACATGCAGCGATTCATTAAAATTATTTGTAATAGACACAGGTTTCGGTTTCTATGTGTTTCCTAATACGATTTTCTCAAATATATTATAAGTAATTAGAATGCCATAAAATCGAGGTTATTAGACACATCAGCCAAGTGATGCTTGGAACTGAAACAGCGTAAATTGCTGCGAAATGACTAGAGTGAAACTTCATCGCCATTATATGGGATATGGGACACGAATATTAGTTAAATCATAAAAAAATAATTTAATCTGTAGACTATTTTCACTTTCAATACTTGGCTGAATTTTGTTGAACTATCTTTCTATGTCAAATCAATCACACAACTGATCGTTTTATTAGAACAGCTAATTTCGCCAGTTAATTTCATCTACACGGTGAATAAAACCTAATTCATACAAGCTCATAAGGCAAAATGAGAATTTTGAGAATTTTTGTGTTGCAGCAAATTCTAAAATAAGCGGTAAAAGGTTTTAAATTTTTCTGTCATGATGTGTTGAACTCGCCCTCAAACTTCGTGACCATTATTTTAAATGAAGCAGCAACATCTGCTCTTTCTTATACACAAAAATTACTTTGGTACGAATTAATAACTTTGGTTCCTTATCTGTGTTCTATAAACGTTCGTTTTTTTTTGTAATTCACTGTCAAATTTATAAAAAAAGTATGAAGAATAATTTTGAAAAATGTTGAAGTGATTTTGAGATTGTCTCAAGATGTAACGTTAACCAGTGAATGATAATTATTTTTTATGAATTGTTATTTTTGCGACCATGCATTGACCTTAAACATCATTATTATTTAACCATTAATGAGAAGGTTGGAAAATGAAAGCATTAGAACCGATTCAGGTCATTCTTAAGAATAACCGTAATTATATCAAGTTCATAAAAATTTGACGAACGAAGGATACACATTAGATTAGATTGTACCACACTTTTTGCTTTCACTGGGAAGATATGAAGTTTAAATAATATGATAATGTTTGAGGTCAGAAGATAATGTCTTTATTCTGTGTTTAGATTTTCATTAAGGCAGTGAAGAGATTTCTAAATTCTCTAAACGAGATGACGAGATCTGAAAAAGCCTGCTAATTAAACCATTAATAAATGCCATTAAACATAATTAGTCGATGTCAATTGATAATAATCTAACACATTTGATAATCACAGCAAGGTGTAATTTTTACCAATTTGGTAATTAATCTTCAGCTAATTTACGCCAAGTCGTATAATTGCTAAGGCTATTCAGCTCTCATGAAATACGATGTCATTGACGAATAATAAAGTATTTGGATTTTATGTGCAAAGGTTGCTATTTAATGACAAAAGTTCATCATTATGATTAAGATCAAACAATACATATTACGAAACAATAGACAATGGCATACAACTCAGGTTGTTATACGCATATCAGACAACAGCTATAGGATATTAAACAGGAGCCCAAAAATCAAATATGAAAGATCACTTTTCATGCATGCAGAAGATGACGATTTTGATGTTGATTTCATTCATTTATCATTAGCGAGACCATTCAACGCAGTGTGCGATTGTTAGGCGTTTTATGAGACAGTGCCTAAATTCAAACAATCCCAGAGATAATTAATTTTATGGTTGAGAGAGTCAAAAAGAGAGAAAACAGAAGAGAAACAACTCAAATGAAAAAATCAAACTGCTTAAGAAGATATTTACAAGAAGAAAAACACATCAATTAAATGGAATGACAGAATAACAGGAGCGTTATCAACTATAAGCACAAGGAAAGCAATTAAAAATAAACTCAACCTTAAAGTGTGAAATCATTAAATACCATATGACTGCTTAATCATCAATTTCCTGGTGACAGCTTCGAACATTGATTGGGGAGAAGCTGGTTAGTATGAAGTAAAAGAGGGCGTTACAAAAACCACTAAATGTCACGGACAAAGAGTGAAAAACCCACTAATGAAGGCAATCCAGCAGTAAGATATTCCATATCGAATTATTTGAGAACAATATAACACGAGTTGTCCGTGATTTGCTTCTGGTTCCTTCAAACCGGATACGTCTCGTAAATGGTAACGACTTTTCAGGACCTGAAATAATTGTCTGTTCACTCATAAGCTTTTTCAGTCGATTTTTTCATCGAATATAAATATGTATATGTAAATAACTCAAA